CATGAACAAACTGTACAGCTTCCAATTAAAATAACATATTGTCTTTTATCATCTTTATATTTATTTATATGTTTGTTATTTCTTTACCTCAATTTTTCTGTTTCTGTGCTTTCATCTTATTATATTATATTCATATTATATTTTCCTTGTATGTAAAAACCTACTTGATTGCATGCTAGTCTCATTATATAAAAGCTTTTGTATGTTGCATTGACTGTGATTTTAAAACTGTAACCACGTGTCTTTATGAGAAGGCCCGTGCGTTCTCGTGTGTTGTCTGTACATATACACGGTCGAGTATTATTGCCCGTCTATGCCAGCGATTCTGATGTCATTCCAAAGAAATCCCCCCCTCCATCTCTGGGTCTCCCCAGCTGTTGCTTCAATATCGTCTTTTAAACCCCACGTTAATAAAACAGTAATTGAAAGAGCTTTGCGTCCTCCTGTATCCAGTTACTTACACTTTGGTAATATGCACAAAAGCTGTTTGTATGGCTATTCCCTGCGGGCCATTTTCTGATTGATGTGTGTGTGTGTGTGTGTTAGCGTGTGTGTGTGTGTGTGTGTGCACTAAATAGATCCTATAATTGCACAAAGACAGCTGACCTGACAATAGTAAACTGCAGACAGTTTTCTCTTGCTTGAGTCTCTAGTTTCGCTCTAATATATTCAGTCAAGGCAAGTCAATAGGCAAAACCAATTTACCGTGTTATGTGGGCAAGTTTCCATCTACCTCGCTCTCTCCTCTTGTTGCCCCACTGTCTGTGGCAGTTGTCTGGGTTATTCAGCTTTAATAGCCTGACTCTCTCTTGCTCCAGTCCAGAGCTGCAATGATTAGTTGGTTAATTCATTTGCAACTATTTAGATAATCTATTAGTAGTTTAAAAGGGAACTTCACTGTTTTTACTACTACTACGAGTTATTTTGGATAAGCTCAAGACTTAAAAAAAATTAAAGAAAGCCTACTATACAAACTGCAGGTGTGGAGGTTGAAAGAAACAATCATTTAGGAGGCAGGGAGGTTGTAATGAATAATATGATTGAGTGGCATTATTGGAAATGTAGTTTTTCAAGCTTTGGCCACTTAAAATCAGGATATCTCAACCTCCGCTGCTTCCATTCTGACCATTCTTGTTTTAATCTGTCTCTTGTAAGTCCCACAACTTTATGGAAGTTCAATAGTAAATCACTGAGGTACCCCGTTAAGTCATATGATGGCTCCAAGTTCACAAATGTGAGAACTTTGCTATTTTCCTTTATCTTTACGCCATAGATTACTGTATTCTAACATTTTATGGGCCAAACAATCAATCAAAAAAAAATGTGCAGATTAATTGATAGTCAAAACACAATAGACAAATCACATTAATATATACTTAATATAAATGTAATGTTTAAATTAATATTTAAGGGTAAGTGGTATGACATCGTGCAATTCTGTGCATTTGCTTTTTAATTTTGCATTTTGAAAAGGTGTTGTTACTAAAATAGCAGCATCAGCGTCATGCCAGTATAACAGTATTAGCTGAATTAATCTCAAGAGCTCAGCACCGTCTCATTATGTGCCCACTCTCCATTGATTGAAGTTACACTCTGTCAATAACCCAGTAGTTTTGTCTATTCAGGTTGTTGGATTGCATAGCCATGTGCTTACACAGCAAATCAAGAGGCTGTCTCATTAATTTGCTATTCGGTGTGGTTCTGTCTATCTGCTCCAGGGGGACTAAAAAGTCTTGATTTTCTCTTTTACTTCATTCTTTCAATCATATTTCGATGTTTATGTTAGAATTGTAACCTTAAAAATGTTGTTTCTGTAGACTCTTTGTTATGAGAACTAACAACGAGTCTACAGCCACACTCGTGGCTCTGTGAGGCATGTATCTTTAGGCACAGTCGGTGCTTTGAGCGTAAATGCTCTAACATGCTTACAGTGAAAGTGAATACACACTGATATAGCAGCTATAATGCTTTCCAAAGAGGGACCGACAGGACGACCTACCTTTGCCATGGTATAATGCATGGTTAAAACTACTACAAGGAGTTTTTAACTGGTTATAAAACAGTCACAATTTAATACTGATGCCTATATATGGTACATGCTTGCCATTGGGTTGGATTCTATCGTATTTCCCTTTGAAATTAATTAAACTAGGTGGTGGAAAACACTACCGCTATTGTCCACAGGGGCAGCCAGAATCTATATAAAATTAAAGTTCCTTGTTGCAGCTTTAAGGAAATAAGAGTAATAACATAATTTAAATACAGTGCAAGTAAAAGGTCCTATATTCAATACTTTTAGTGAAAGTACACAAGTAGTATCTTCAAAACTACGTATCAAAAATACTTATGAGGCATTATTGTGTATGTAGAGGTTTTGTTGTTATAGCAATATGCATCATATTTCATAAACTGATGATATGTTTTGTATTTAAAATGTTATCTACAATCAACTATAACTGTCAGATAAATGTAGTGGAGTAAAAACGTAGGCAAAAAGTATTTACCTTAATATAAATGTGCACTAAATGCATAATACACATACTTTAACATTGTACTTAAGTACAGTATTTACTAAACTACTTTTACCACTATGTTTTACGTGTGTGGAGTGATTTGTGTGATAATATTTAATAGCAGAATGGAGTAATTAACTCCATTCTGTTTGTTTGTTTTTTAAAGTTTGAATATTGTTTTGTATCTGATTACGTCAGCATTTGTCGTGATGTATACTGAAACAATATCTTGAAAATACATAGTATTATATTACATATATATTAACTATAGCAGTGTATTTGCATTAATGTTGACGGCATATAATGTATCTTTTTAGGTTGATTAAAACATATACTTGCAACATAAAATTGATTTATATTTTATTCATATTTCACATTGACTATATGAAATGTATTGTTTGTTTGTTGTTTTTCCATATGGGTTGTCTTGCCACTGCTGTTTATCAGCAACAAGGCCTGTCTGGTTGCTAAGGTGGGCCTGAGGCTCCCTGGCAGCCGAGAGCACCTCGGGGCCCCAGGGCCTGGAGCTCTGTGACGCGTTGGGAATTCCCCCGAGTCTTCTTCTTCTATCCGCACCCTGCAGGACGGGATGCAAACAGGGAAGTAAAAGAGGGTGGACCCAGTGTCTATATTACTCAACTTTTAGAGGTTAGCGTGATATGTACTATAGATAAGTAACATCAACTTGTTTTTATCTATTTTGGACTTTTTAAGGGGACATTTTTAGCACAAATCTGTATTTTTTTCTAAATAGAAAATGTGATTTTTGCCGTATTATGATCACCAACGGCAGTTCTTTTTGTACATTTCCTTTCCTGCTTTATCTCTGAACCTGAACTCAATGCAATAACCAAAACAATGCCGTGTATTTGCCTCATGCAGATTATATTATTCTTGCAGTGTGTGTTACTTACAATAATAACGCGCAATCTGACCAGGCAAAGTATCTGGTTATGTAAACTTCCTGAACAAACAGCTAAGGAAGTGTCAGACAGGAGTGCCATTTGCTCTCCTGTAACTGGCTGTGACTGTTTTTACACCTTCCTTCTAAATAAGGCAGCAGGCTGCCAGGACATATGACCACCGTCCCGATTTGGGTTCTGGACACAGTATCCATCCATCCATCCCATGATTGCTCAACGCCAATGAAACACACACACACACACACACTCCCTCCCCTCTTGCAGGTCTCCTATGTGAGGAAGAGCTGCATCAGGTCAGCCACAATTAGCCAGAGGAAGACTGATAAAGTAGGTTAGATTACCTTCAAAATAAAAGCACAAAACGTCTTAACTTGGGTAGAATTTGTTTGAGATGAGATTTTATGTCCATTCATATACATTTTGCGAAATTAAAGTAACATTTAGGACACAATACCATTCATGTTTATTTTTCTACCTTAGTTCCTAAACTTTAATTTAAAATTTAGGCCTATCCTCAACTTAAATACAGTCTTTTGGGGCTCAATCTACCTACAACTAACAAGAATTTTCTCAGAATTACAGAACAGTCTGTAATTCAGAGATTAGATTAACTGTCTATAAAATGTCAAGAAAAAAGACTTAAAATGTCCCATTTTACCTGACTAACACTCCAAATGTTGAAAAGATTCAGTTTAAGCTCTTCTTTGGACAGCTGGTTATACAAAACAAGCAACCGTAAGACTCCACCTTGGGCTCTGGGAATTTTTTTACTGTTGTCTGACGAATAAAATAAACAATTACTCAATTAAATGAAATATAACCAGTAAATAAATCAAAGTTAGTTGCAGTCCTTGTGTTTTTTATTTGCTGTTTTTCACCTCATTTACTAAACTTTTAATATAAATGTACAGTATATATTGCTTCCTTTGTATTTATTATGGATCCATCCTAAATTTTGTTTTAATTATTATCAATTAAACTGAGTCTAAAAGTCATGACAGGCCACACTGACAAACTGTTGCTACTGTTTTGATGAATTTATTATTTGCACTATTGCTCAATGTTTCTTGTGCTGGTGGGTGACAAATTAAAGTAATAAGCCTGAAGCTTCAGTGCATACATGTTAGTCTCTGGATGAACACCATGCATTGGCTAACATATCAGTCCAAAAATCTCTGTAGGTTTTGGTGATTGTGGAGGCCATGATTCACATACTTTTCAAATTAAGTGCTTGTGCTTTGTATGAAAGCATTTATTCAATTTCTTTCTTAAATGTGTAGTTTATTTTATTGGCTTTGGACCTTTTGGGAGGTGAAGTGATGCAGGGACTCGATACTTCCCGACACATATAAGCAACATATAATGATAAGGATTTTATTTTGAAAAGTACCAAAGGAAACGCTTCATCTTATTCTATTTGGCTTGTTTGACGCTAATGTGAAGGTGCAGCACCCCCCATCATTTCTATCAGAACTGCTGCTGCTGGGGTCCTGTAACTCTCTCTCTCCCTCTCTCTCTTCTCCTACTCCTCTTCCTCCTCCTCCTC